TAAATTGTATATCCATATTTCCTTCCCACGCAGTAAGAAGAACAGGATTGTAATCATTTATATTAACTTCATTCTCTGTTCGAGGAAGATCGTAAAGTCTACTTTTATGTTTTAAATGTTTTCTACCTGCTATCGAACTTGCAACATCTCTTATNTTTATTGTTTCTGTGACAGGACGAGGAAATCAAAAACGACATCTACGTACAACTTTACGTCCTACCTTCTTAAAGCGGAGACAATAATTCTTATGTATGTGCGTCTGATGCGTATGGACACGTCTGTATAATAGCGGTGATATATCTTGATTCGGCATTTTACAAGTTACATGTTGCAAAATAAAGTTAGAAACTTCTTTAGTGGACGATTCTCCTATGATCGGTGCATTTTTAATCCAAATTAGCAAATGAAAATGTTGTACACCTCTACCTTGTTATTCTCGTCGCCAGAAATAATGAGATACTTCTCCAATCGGATGATCTTTTGAACACATAAAATCGAGCATTGCTTTGAAGTTATTATCTAGAAACCTTGATGTTGACACTGGATCTTTGGCAACAAGTACACTAGTACACAACGAGGAATTGTGCCATCCGTTTACTTCACGAATATATTCTCCTAAATCATCCCACAACCATTCGCTAGGACTTAACGTTAAAAACCATGTTGCAGGTCCATAATGCTGTGTCATGCAATTTAAATCACTTCTCGGTCTTTGCCAATATTGTTCTGTATTTCTTAATTCGGAAAATATTGTACTTAAATTAGATTCCAATAATTCTTTCGACATTGCTTCTAAATATTCTGCAGCTGTGTAACGACAACGTAAATTCGTTACATTCATTTTATGATAAATTCCACGACTTAATTGACGAATATTTGCATTGTTTAATAAGTAAAATAAATATTGTAGTTCAATCTGTATTATGGATGTTTAGACATCAAACGACATTTAATAAATTCGTGATCATGAAATTTGACTTTTCTAGCTTCATGTTGTCCGTTAATACCAAAAGGAAATAAATCTGGAAAACACATTAAATCCGATAATTTTTTACGATTATCCATTGGCAAATCTCCAATTTTTAACATCTGATACAAGGCTGTTGCACTTTTATTCAATTTTTTTTCATACAAGGGATATATAATATATTGCTCATAATATTCATCATTTTCATCAATGATCTTAGTTAACATTGCCTCATGTTGATCGTCAACTGTAGTCTGTACATGATTTTTTATCTTTTTTGTTTGGTCTACACAGTGTAATAATTCATCATTTTCATGAATGATCTTGGTTAACATTGCCTCAT